AAAAATTTGCTTATACTTTAGGAGATAGCCAAAATATATATTCTCTCTATTTTTTTTTCATCCACTGCTAAATTTGTTGCAATTTATTTATAACATCTTCCACTAGTGTTCCACACCAGATCGGGAAAAAATTGGCATTCTAGATTATTCTTCCGGAATCTACTTTTAGAAAAGTGAATAAAACAATAGAGAGGTAGAAGAACTATTCTTCTTTTTTCAACGATCTGAGAAGACAGCTGAAAGTAGATTCTCTCAAATAAGTGACCGTAGCGCAGTTGTAGTCGGCCTGGTCAGAAGGACGATTACCCTCTTTTCTTGCTGCTCAAACCCTTCAATTTTTGTAAAAATTCTCTCCGAAGCATTCGATGTTCCTTTTCCAGAAAGTCAAGAGAAGGTTATCCCAGACCACTATCATCAACTGTCAGAATACAGTGTCATTTTCTTTCGGTGATGGATTCAGTTCTCCAACTTGGCATGCATCTTTCTTCATAGGGGATGAGCCCTTACCAGGCCACTGGATGTACGAGGATAGGATCGTTCGATTTTTGTTTTTCGGTTTGATTTTCTTCTTTCGAGGGGGTGTATTTTGAAAAGTCAGAAAGGTGAAAAAGTTGATGGGTCAACGAAGATGCCCTTAATTACACGATATAAAAAAAAGCTTCTTAAAACATATATTTAAAAAAAAATTCTACAAATTTGAAGCATTATTTAAAGTTTTAAAATTTCTTAAGAATGAAATCAAAATAGAAATCGATTGACTGATTCTTGTGAAATTTGATAGTTTGATTTTTTTAAAGTTTGGAAGGGTGGAAATGGTGATGGGTCAACGAAAATGTCCATCATATTTCTCTTTAGCATATTTCTTCCTTCGAATTGGGAAATTTAGATTTTTTTTAAAATTTGGCTTTTAAAATTTCTTTTAAAATAATCGATTGAAAGATTCTCGTAAAATTTGATATTTTTTTTCGCCTGTATTTTGAAAAGTTAGAAAGGTGAAAAAGTTGATGGGTGAACGAAGATGTGCATGCTGTGAAAGAAATCTCAGTTTACACATACCCCTATACAAGTTAAGAAAAAACGCACGAATTTTAAGTTTTTTTTATTTAACTTTTAAAAAAGTTTTCAAAATGAAATAACATAAGAAAGGATTGAAGGATTCTTGAAAAATTTAATTTAATTATTAGCTTGGTGTTAGATAAATACTAATGTAGTGGCGGTTTGGAATTCTTCCTCAGTGATATTCCTACTGGCGCAACACGTCGTCGCTTTAAAACTAAACCGTGGTAACTCAAAAAAGCAAGTTTTTCAGGAGAGTGATTTCTAACTTTCCGCGCTAATGCGAATCGCGCCAATGCGATAACGATTTATCTACTCTCTAAATTAATTTTATGGGACTATGAAGATAATACGTTGTTTCTCTAAAAGGGTGATTTTCTTTTCACAAAATGACCCAAATATCTCATTTTTCGATTTTTATGAGTTACTACGGTTTAGTTTCAAAGCGACGACGTGTAAAACAAGAACATAATTTGGATAGGAGGGCAGATAATGGTAGTAATTACCCGGTATCCGTACCACTCTCAGAGTCTGACTAAGGCAGGGGCATACGGGGAAGTTGCCCAGGGCCCCCACATCAGAGGGGGCCCTTAAATCGCATAGAAAGTTTATTTTACGCCTCCTTTTTAAATAAAATATCAGTACAGTGTAAAATCCAATCAGTTTCATGTAAACTTCTTTATTATTCTATCGTGTGAACACAAAAAATCTATATTTCGTAAATCCTGAGCTTTCTTAGGGCAGAATTCAGCTAATTTTTCGCAATTACGATGGCTCAATTAAGGCTCCACGTAAAGGACTTTTGGTGAACGATCATAAACCTTCGTCCTGTGTGTGCATGCTGTGCTGTGTGTGCAACTTTGAGGTTTTTTCCTTTTAATTAATTTAACAGGATAGAGTTAGATTCTCTATTTCCTCCATTAGGTTTAGATTCTCAATCTTACAAATTGGATTCTTGTTCTCTTGACTACCATTGATAGTCTGAATTTAACTTGTTTAGTTTAGGTTTTAAAAGGCAGAATTTTTGGTTTAAAGTTTTCTGTTCATAGTCGAGTCTACATGGCCGAGAGGTATTGTCTTCCGCTAAATGTTTTGAAGAGCAGGATATAGTGGGTTCGAATCTCACAATGACTTTGGTTGTATCTTTGTATAGTTTCTTCTCTCTGTGTCAGAAGTTCTTCAATTTTACAAAAGCTCATTAGCCGTTATTCATATTGAACACACATGCCTGGTAATGCATAAAAGTAAATAATAGTATTTAGCTGTTTATGCTCGATGCGAACTGCACGGGATTTAAAAGGTTGTGATTTCGTTATTTCTCAAAATCTTCTGCATGTTTACGTTTTTGAACAGTTCCTATATTCTGATTTAAAGTTATGCTTTCAATGTGCCATCAAGTCTTTTCACTGGTCTGTTTAGATTTGTTCCAATAGTTTTTTTAAGATTGCTACTTTCCATTAAAAGTCTTTATTTTATCTACTTCTCATAACCTTGCTGAACAGTTCTCCTAGCCTTGCTCATCAAATTGCATTTCATATTGTTTTTTGGTGGATACTTTATTATATGTCGCACTAGGGTTATTATATGTCGCACGATGGGTTATTGGCGAATGATCCGAAGGCATGCTATCACAATTTTGGTTCTCTGCAGAGGGGATGCCTCCTGCTTTGGTACCCGGACGACCTGTCCGTGAAGTCGAGCACTTTACGGTAGAACCCTCGGTCCCTACGCAAGCTGATCAAAGTGGTTACCAACCCCGCTTACTGACCGCATCCTGTGACGCTTGACTTCGAAGTTCTATTTAGAACCGTGTGGGACTCTATGTACTTGGAACTGACTTGGATGACTGACGTTCGTATCTTTCACTGGCATCGAGCTTATGCTTTCGATTGGTTGTCATCAATCTCCCATTTGAAAAGAATTCTATGGTGGTTAATTTTTGTAGTTAACTAGAAAAGTATTTTCTCGTTTCTTTCAGTGAAGAGCGTCCTCTGGTTTTACAAGCTATTTTCATGAATTGTTTTAAATATGTGCTACCTGGTTTCCTTTTTTTATGGTTTACTTTGGTGTATACGTCAAACTGTTTTTTTGCTCCGCAGTGGACTGATCGTTAAGGCACGATTCCCAGCAGATCACCGAAGTCAAGCATCACTAACTGCGGTCAGAGTGCGGGTGGGTGATCACTTGGATTAGTCTGCGTAGGGACCGAGGGTGTGCGGTATTGGTCCTCGATAAACTGTTCTACCGTAAAGTGCTCGACTTCGCGTGCAGGTCGTCGGGCTACCGAAGTGGGGGGGCCATCCCCTCTGTAGAGGATCAAAATTGTGATGGCATGTCTTCGGATCATCCTCAGGGATGTTTCCCAGACCGTCGCCAATAGCCCATTGTGCAGGTCTAGTGCTACGTAAATGAGCTACAACAACAACAAGCGTCGGATGTTCTTCAATTTTTTAAAAGCTTATTAGCCGTTATTCATATTGAACACACATGCCTGGATATGCATGTAAATAAATGAATAATCATTCGTGGTATTTAGCTGTTTACGAGTTCTATGCAAGATGCAAAGGATTTAAAACGTTGTGATTTCGTCATTTCTCAAAACCTTCTGCACGTTTGCGTTTTTGAACAGCTCCTATATTCTGATTTAAAGTTATGTTTTCAATGTGCCATCCAATTGTTTTTTTAAGATTGCCACTTTCCATTAAAAGTCTTTATTTTATCTACTTCTCATAAACTTGCTCATCAAATTGCATTTCATATATTCTGTAGGTAGATACTTTATTATACGTTACACTAGAGCTGCACAATGGGTTATCGGCGACGGTCTGGGAAGCATCCCTTAGAATGATCCGAAGACATGCTATCACAATTTTGGTTCTCCGCAAGGGGGATGCCTCCTGCTTTGGTAGCCCGATGACCTGCACGCGAAGTCTAGCACTTTACGGTAGAACAGTTTATCGAGGACCAATACCGCACACCCTCGGTCCCTATGCAGACTGATCCAAGTGGTCACCAACCCGCGCTCTGACCTCAGCTAGTGATGCTTGATTTCGGTGATCTGCTGGGGACCGTGTCTTAACGATCAGTCCACTGAGGGACTTAGTATTTATGGCGAGCATAGATTAGGCTTATTATCCGTGTTATTAGGTACGTCCGAATATAATCTGTACTCATACTAATTTCGGTGTTGTCGAAATTCTTTTTCTCAAGAATTTTTTTTTAATTTTAATGCTGGATTAATTATAACTTTTCAGATAAGACCTGTTTGTTCCCATTTCAATTTCCGTATTGAATAGAGTCTATTCATGTTCTTCTATTGGGATTTAATTTTTTGTTGTAAAATACGCTATATTTTTAGAACTTGCAGCTAAAAGCTTATGTTAGCCCCTTGACATACGAAGATGTCTGAGAGACGTCATTTGTTTCTTATGTCAAAATAATAATTGACCTAACTCTGACGTCTTCAACACGGAGATGCCAACTTGCACCTTACAGCAAATGTATATTTTTAAGTGGTAGTTTATCAACTGTGATTCTTGGTTTAATAAATTCAATTTAGTAGATTTTTATCCACCACAATCTCTAAATAATTCGTTGGCTTATATAATTTACCACTTTTAAGTAGTTATGTCATGCTATACCTTTTAAAAAGCAAGCAAATATAGTCAAATATTTGCTAAATTTGAATTGTAGTTACGCACCGTTTTTTTTCTCTCATTATTTTGGCGTGTCCGGAGCTGTTGGCATCTCTGTCAATATTCCGTTACGAGTTGTTGTTTACAGTGCAATCAAAGATCCTTTCGATATCAAGAAATTTAATGATTTGTCAAGGGGTGTGTTATGCATCGTTTGCATAATGCAATTCGTAAAACTTTTCTGTATTTTTCTTTCTGTTGGTGGCTATATAAATATGAGTATTAAAATAAGACTAATGGAATTTTTACCATAAACTTTAACCATCTTTTCTCCTTCTACCGTCTGAAAAGTGGGTGATTCCGCAGAAGCCTCACACCTGTAGAGACCCTCCGTGTTGAGGTCAGTGTCTTTCAGGTAGACATTTCCCTGCACCGACCGATCCAACTGAAAAAAAAAAGTTGTTTTTCTTAGATCACGCAACATGTTAATAAAGACAGAACAAACTGATTCGTGACAGTAACCAACAGTGTTGTTGGGGTAAATGGGTTAATATTTTGTCAGACAGTCTAATGTTTTATCTTGATTTTAAAATTATGTTCTAGTAAAAAAAAAAACAGATGTTTTAATTTATCTGAATTTTGGGAGTGGAAATTTAAAACTGTCGAGTATAATTTCGCTGCAGATGAAAATATAGTTCGTTTGCCAGGAGTTGGCACTTGGCTCCACCTCCTCTGACGAAGAGTTCATTTCAGTGAAGGGAGTAAGAGTAAGAACGTCTCCACTCTTGAAATTGAGACAACCGTTAAAGCGAGCCAAACGCAAACAGTGAATTCTTTTTCAGTCACTTACTTCGCTTTATCATCTGCTATTATACCTTTCGTTACTCTATCTAATTAAATATATTGCTGCAAAATGTCTAAAACAGGACAAACTATTCACTCAAAAGAAAGAAATATCAAATTTATGAAATATTTAATATTATAAAAATGCACATTAAGATTGAAAAATAAATATTTTAGTCATACGATATCCAAATAGCAACCTTGTTCACGATTGTTCACATCCTTCTCCCCAAAATAGCGAAATAGTATCATCCGGAAACCACGTGATGAAGGCGGAGCCAAGTGCCAACTCCTGGTGAACGAACTATACCTGATTGCAATTTTGCCACATGACTGTTTGAGGGAAGAAGAAACAGTTTTACAGGGTTAATGGGTTAGCATTTCGTTTATCAGCAAGGCTTTATTTTTCATTTTAAAATTGTGTGCAAAAAAAAAATGGCTTAATATCTGTGAAAATTACGATAGAAATTCAAAACAGTAAATTTATTGATTATTGTATTTGATAGTCAACGACAACGTTCCCCAAACTTTTCACGTTTGCAAAACATCAGTGAAAGTAATCAGGATGTATAGCCCCCGCGTGACATTTACTTTTTCTAATACATTTTATAAACCTAAATTTTTTTATGCAAAGTAGGTCTTGCAAAGCGAATAGAGGTTCACAGAGCTATAGGGATAGTATTACGCTCTGACAAGTTATCAGACCTATATATAGTAGTATATTTGATTGAAAAATAATAGTATTGATGATGAGAACGACAGTAATGATATTTATAATGATATTAATAATGCAAGGAACGCTCTAAACATTCGCCACCTGACTAAATACGATAAAATCGTGAATTTGGTGATACAAATTGTGATTTGGTGAAAGTATTAGCGAACGATTTTATGAATTTTAACATTATGAATTTTAATTAGGCATTATGAATTTAATTAGAATCTAATAAAAATTATATAAATTCAAATAATGTAAGCAACAAGAGAGATTATGTAAGCATTAAAAAATCGTAAAATACAGACTGATCAGATTATCAGACCGCATCACGCGATATCACGTGACGAACTCTTTCCTGCAGTTAGCGTCAATTACGTAGATTAAGTAGTAGCTAGATGCTTATTATCTTCCAACTCTTTATCCAGATAAAATGTGTCCTCGGGTAAAAAGCATTTTGTTTATTAAAATTAATTTATTGTAAAATTTAAAAATGAAAATGATTGCTGAAAGAAGAAAATTTAACTTAGATTTCAATGGTAATAATGATGATATTTATAATGATAATTCAAATAATCAAGAAATTATTAAGCTGTAGCATCCTTTTCAGAAGTATATAATGTCGATACTAGAATGGCGTGTTGAGCATTTAAGTGTAGAATAATCTGGTGTATAATGTAATTTGTTATTTATTCGTAACTGTTCAAAACCGATGTTACAAAATGACCCTATCTTGTTTTGTGTGAGTAGAAAATTCTTATTTGAAACCGAAAAGTAGCTAGGGAAGAAAAGTTATTCTGCTATGAATAAAAAGTAATTTATGGAAGATTGTTCTAAAAGTGCTTCTATAACGATCAGAAATATATTCAACCTCTTTCTTACCCTCAGACTATATTCGAAAAATTTTATAAATGCGCGTTCGTGAAATGTAGTTTAACTGAGAAACTTTCGCGTCACTTAAGAAGCGCAATGTCGCTTGCAAAAAAAATAAGATAGAGATAAATGTTGCCAATTCGTAGCAGACGTTATATTGTGAAATACGGCACTCCAGACGATCTTTTTATTCGAAAAAGTTATTCTTCCCTGTGGAAGTTACTAGAAACTCGTTGAAAGATAAAGGATGTAATCTGCTCATAAAGCGGAAACCGTCCTTCTGAAAAACAACGTAATTTTATGGAAGGATGCGAAGAAAAAAAAGAATATTTTTCTGGAGAGTAATTCTACGTTTGTTCGCTTTTGAAGTGAGGAAAACGATAATGCAAAGTAGAAAACGATTCAGTGTTGGCGGAGTCTGATAATTTTACTTCAAGTAAATTACAAAATGTGCAGAGAAGTTAATTTGTCTAATTTAATTAAATAAAGGGCTAAAAATATTTTTAAAAAAAGTGTAAGGAAAATTTGAAAAACTAATGAGCTGCGCCCCCTGCTCGCTGATGCTCGCCAACCCCTGAAAATTGCTACGCAATCTTATATGGCTTGCTTCGCAAACCAAGCTCGCTTCGCTAGCTACAAACTTAGGTACATTGCAAATGCACAAAATTCTAAGAATTCAAAACAATCATTCAAATCCATATAACAACTTTTTTTTTTAAAAAAAGAAATTACATCATTTTAGTAAATACTAAGTCATTAAAATAAATTTGAAATCAAATAAATGACATGTAATTCATTAAACCTATTAGAAATGTGCTATAGTATAAAATCTTAAAGCGTAACAGCACGTTTCAATGAATAACTAATAACAACAATGAAACAAATAAATTCGTGATATAAATCAAAAATTGTCAAATAAATTCGTAATATATAAATTTGTGAAAAAAAGCGCTCTCGACAAAATACTGAAATAGAGATCCATCGACAAAGACTACTCACATCTGCCTAGCTTAACAGTATGAGATTGCCACAGCTGATAATGCTCTCTCTGGTTATTTCAGTTTCCGGTTTTAAAAGCGCTATATGTTGAGCCACCTCANAGTCAAAAATGAGTCAAAACAAAATTTGTCTAATTTAAATTAAATAAAAGACTAAAAATATTTTAAAAGAAAGTGTAAGGGAAATTTGAAAAATTATACTCTGTTTCAATATGTTAAGTCATTAAAAGAAAACTTTTCGAATTTTTAAACAAGTTTGGTATGAGGAACATTTAAAATTAAGGTAAGTAGTACCAGGAAACGCGAGAAAAATTTGATTTTCTTATTTTAATTAATTGAAAATGTCTTTATTTTGACACTATTGTGATGTTTCGAAATTTCTGATTTGTTTTAATTTGAAAATATATATATATAAATAACTTAGTACATTAAAAATATATGAACCAAAAATTCACGCTAGTCAGTTTTAATTGTTACGGCGATCGGGATCTGGTTTGCCATTTTAGATAAGGTTTGGGGACAATGATGCTTTCATATATTGCTATTAACAATAAACAATTGAACTCAATTTTGTAGTGTCTTCTTATTTTTTGGAAAAGTAAAAAGAAAAATTGTGGCTTATAAATGTTTTGCAATGCATCATAAAAGAAAATTGAAACTATTATTCATATTTTTGGATATGCTAATGTATTTTACTTGTTTATTGCATTATTATCATAGTGTAAACTAAATTGCAATTAAGATTTTTTAAGAAAAAAAGAAGTCATTTTCAAAAACGTTTAGTTTTCCTAACTTAATTTTTAATTTTTTANACATTTGAAATATATGAACCAAAAATTCACGCTAGTCAATTTTAATTGTTACGGCAATCGGGATCTGGTTTGCCATTTTAGATAAGGTTTGGGGGCAATGATGCTTTCATATAATGCTATTAACAATAAGCAATTGAATTCAATTTTGTAGTGGCTTGTTGTTTTTGGAAAAGTAAAAAGAAAAATTGTGACTTATAAATGTTTTGAAATTGAAACTATTATTCATATTTTCGGATATGCTAATGCATTTGACTTGTTTATTGCATTATTCTCAGATTGTAAACTAAATTGCAATTAAGATTTTTTAAGAAAAAAAGAAGTCATTTTCAAAAACCCTTAGTTTTTTTAACTTCATTTTTAATATTTTTTAAAAAAAATATATATTTCTTTATAATTTTTGTCATCGAATGTCGACTTGATTTCAATAAGATTTACTTTAAAACAACATAGTTTGAAAGATTGGAGGAAAAACTGGTAACCTGGTAACTAAGATTCGAAGGCCTGTAGGAGCTAAAATCTTTGACAAGGGACTGCCAGATTTGATCAAAATATTCATTGTTTAGTGGTGGACAATATACAGCGATGCCAACTTGCTCCACTTTTTAAAAAAATTATCTAGAGGTAAGCGAAGTTTAGTAAATTTGATTTTAAATTATTTTATCACCACAACATATCAGAAATACAAAGCCTGATACAAAAATGCTCCTTTAGTGTTGTTATTTCGCGGAGTGACTTTAAGAGAGTTGATAAAAATATCCCTCATTCTCAAGTTTTACTTTTGAATTTGTTAAAATTTATTAAAACTTTTGCAGACAGTGGAGCAGTTGGCATCTCTCATACTTGAAAAAGTCGTAAATGCACTACTTTTTCAATAAATGTTTTTTTTAAGGAAGTCAAATCAATTGATCTTACCCTACTAGTTTGGTAAGACCAAGCCCATATTTAAACCCTACATTTATCTATATAATATCTCTACATAATATCAGAGTTTCGGTCAAAAAAGTAGCAGGCATTTTTATTTATGTCATTTTAAGAATATTGCGGTTGTAGCTATAAATTTAAGGAATAATTTTTCTTTTTAAGAATGTCAGATTTTTATTTACTTCTGAATGATAAATTCTACTATAACTTTAGAGAAATGAAACATTGATGTTGAAAATTTTTCGAAAAACATTTAATCGTAATAAGTATTAGAAATAACTTG